AGAAAATCATTTTCTTTACAAATAGCATTACACATTTCACACTTCTTCACACAAAATGTGATACATAATATATTATTATTGCTTCAAATGGATTTAGTGGCAGGAGACCATGAAATTTGAGTTGCTGGGTCACATCTCAATGAATGCCAGAAGTGAATGTTTCTGGAAAAAACATTCAAATGCAAATGTAGACATCCACTAGAAGATGTTTCATGCTTAATATTTAAGCTCTAGCTATTTGAGTTTTTGAAAAGAAGATTTTTAAGCTTTTACTGTATACATATTAGGAAAATCAATTGTCCCCCCTATGCGGGCCAATTTCAACAAACTTGGTAGACACTCACTAGAAGATGTTTCATGCCCAATATGCTATATGACATCTAAATTTATACATGCTATATGACATTTAAATTTGAGGTCAGTAAAGCAAATTATGTCATAAAAATTACATCTCTCCTCAATGTATTTTAAAATAGATGATATTGAATGAGTATAAATTTAATAGACAAAATCATATTATCTGAGAATTTTGCGAGGATAATATTGTTTTATTCAACAAGTACAATAAATTTAGTATTGTATTTACATTAATATAATCTTCTTTTTATCACAAATCCAAAATAAGGAAAAGATAACAGTTAATAAAAAGTCTGTTTTCATTGATGCACCTGTAGTGTAACACTACATCAGCGTGTTTGTACGTCATGTTTGTATATAATGCAAATAACATGACGTCAAATTGTAATTACTAAAGTGTACATTTGTTTTATTTAATGGCTTTATTACACTCCTGCACCTTGATTTATACAATAAAAATTTCTATTGATTGAATAATGGGCTAAAATAAAGTGTTTGCATTTAGGTGATTCCGCTTTGTCACCAAGTCTATCCAAAGTGAAAGTAGGCCAAAATTCATATAATAACAAAGTTCACGATGTAAAATGATGAGCCATTTGCATGTTTACTTCCAGTTCTATGTTTTAAGGACTGTTTTAAACAAAAATGAAAATGATAACAATAAGAAAATTTACCTTGAATATGCTTAATTTCTGAAGACCAATTAAGTACAATATGTTGTAAAGTTTTATGCACATTTCATGAATGGCAAAATCCAGTTTAAAGTCAGTTTTAGTGCAGACAAAATGCTATATTTTGCAGAACACACAAAATACTGTGTAAAAATTTAAGTAGTACCATGAAAATAAACATCAATAACCTATTTCTTGTGTACATGACAAACAGACACACTTCACTGTTACACAATATAAAGGTTAGATTTTAAAGTCTGGTTGTGTTTTCATTTTAATTGTAGTTCATCAGGCTAGAAATGGTTATTGTCTTCTTGCACTACTTTTTTACAAAAAAATAATGGAGGCCATGTGCTTATAAGGACATGTGATACTGATTTATTTGGAATTAAGGTTTGAAAGATTTTTGTATTTGCTACATAATATAGCATTTGTTGGCACAAAAACAGACTTAAAAATGGATTTTGCCATTCATGAAATGTGTATAAAACTTTGCAACATAATGTTCTTGGTCTTCAGAAATGTAGCACTTTCAAGGTAAATATTCTTATTGTTATGGTTTATATTTTGACGGTCGGTCTATTTACACCAAGACACCCCAAGACTACCCCAAGACACCCCTAGACCACTTCAAGACACCCAAGACTACGTCAAGACACCCCAAGACAACATCAAGACACCCCAAGACCACCCCAAGACACTTTTACTGACATGTTAATACGTCTTAAATTTACATTTTATATGGGAGGAAACTATGCGATTTCACATTTACACATTGAATCTCTCTTCATTTATTTCCATATATTTTTTAATGTAAGATTATAAATGTATTCTTTTTTGTGCAAAATAGTTTACAACAATGAAATAATTGCAATGTTGCGGGATTTGGGTGTAGTGCAAGTTTAATTCGGCGACAATGTCATTTTATGAGTGACACATTTTTGATGCCTGATTATTAAATTGATAACATTTTGTTTCATAATATTGATTTTTTTTTATTTCATCTGCCCTACATTTCATTAGATTAACATAGTCTTGCTGTTTCAGTAAAGTTAATTTTAATCAAAATATTTTTATTTTATATTAAAGAGCATATCAATAAATAGTTTAGTGATGAAAGAACTCCATACATAATTAACAATATTTGATATATTAAACAGTAATTAACAAGATGAGATGTAAATTAACAAGTGACGTATATAACACTTTCCCAATATACACAATATACACAATATATAAGTTTCTTGGAGTGTCTTGGGGTAGTCATGGGACTAAAAATGTGTATCTTTCTGTACCAGAGTAGTCTTGGGGTGTCTTGGGGTATCATGGGGTGTCTTGGGTAAACCTGGAAGTGTACTTTCAAATGGTTCATCATTTTACATTGTGAGCTTTGTTATTTTATGAATTTTGGCCTTCTTTCACTTTGGATAGACTTAGTGAAAACAAACATGGCTGACAAAGCGGAATCACCTTACGACGACAACAACAACACAAAAATCATTAATAGTTTGACTTTTCCATTGGAACTTGATCAGCTTGAACTGATCAGCTTAAAATCAATGTTCATTTCTCAAAAAATAAATTCACATTGTTTGTCATAAGTTATAGTTATAGTACATGAAACGATTTATTTACGAGGATATTACACTGGCTGGGGCGGTATCAAGGGATGTTTCTGCTAAAAAATGGCAATATGACCTAAACAGTGTAAGTGTTAACTTAAAACCAAGGGCCACTCTCTGCTGAATCAAATCCGACTAGGGCTAATGAATTCTTTCATGCGAGGAAGCTATCCAGCCAACTTATAGAAAGTCTGTGATTCAACTTCAAGTGCATATTTGTGACTGAAATAATGCAAAGATGGGCATCTGAGGACTTCCTTCACCAGTAAAACTGGAAAATGACCATATGCCCTATCAATGACATAAATGTAACTTGAAACCGACAAAATGAATAAATATATAAATACAATGTCATTTGATATACTTGTAGTTGTTTCTGACAGATTGATTCTCGAGACATGTATTTTCAGCATTAGAAAAAAAACAAGAAGTAAGAAAGGCTATTTATATCTATAGTATTTCTATTCTATTTTTTTCTTGTATATTTGCATTGTACAAAATAAAAGGAATAAGATATAAAATAATAAACAAAACTTTCTATTCTGATTTTAGCTATTATATTTTATTCAATGTGTACATAAAGCATGTCTGTTATCCAGCCATTCCAACCCCCCCCCCCCCTAAAAAAACTTTTGAAAAAAAAACATTTAAGTGACTCCTCATTGAAGTTATTGCCTACAAAAGGTTTGACTATTATATATAGGATATGGACTGGATAAAAGTTTACTTCTATATCATACAATTCACCTTTGCCAGTCAGTTATTGCAATACCCTTGATGTTTTCAAATTTTGATTTGATACGATCTAAAACATTCAGCCAGGTGAGATGATTGTCCACATGATACATAATGTTGGTAGCATTTATACACGCCCCTGTAGCACCTTTAAAAGCACTCGCCACCCAAATGTTACTAAATACTTTGGAAAAACGATCCCATATATCTACAATATAGAAACGGTTCTTCCTCCACTGGTCAACTCATGCCAGAAATAACGCACAAAGATGAAACTAGTCCACTACTCATGCCAGAAATAACACAAATAGAGGCACCTGAGATATTCCCCCAATAATCCTCTACTCCTGTTAGAAATACACACAGAATTGCACCCGGAGTCTTCCTGAAATAACACACAAAGGGGCACGTACTCCATTACTCATGCAATAAATAACAAAAAAGGGGACCCTGAGGTCTTCCTCCACTAGGCTGCTCATGCCAGAAATAACACACAATGGGACACCTTAGGTTTCCCTCCACTAGTTCACTCATGCCAGAAATAACACAGACAGGGGTACCTGAGGTCTTCCTCCAGTAGTTCACTCATGCCAGTAAAAACACACAAGTGAGCACCTGAGGTATTCCTTTACTTCTCCGATCATGCCAGAAGTAACACACCAAGAGGAGCCTGAGTTCTTTCTCCACTATCTTGAATATGCCACAAATAGCACACAGAGGGGTTGCTCCTCTATGTGAGATTTTGTTTTTGTTTTTACTATATACAAATTAGGAAAATCAATGATGCCCCCCGTGGCGGACCAGTTTTGACCCCAGGGATTTTATTTGAACTAACTTGGTAGACACCAATCAGAAGATATCTTAGCTCTAACTCTTTGGAGTTTTAAAATGAAGATTTTTTAAGTTTTTACAATACACATATATAAAGAAATTCAATGATCTCTAGCTTTTTGGGTGTTAAAAGAAAATTTTATAAGTTTTTGCTATATACATACATGTATTAGAAAATCAATGACGCCCTAGGCAGGGACAATTTTGACCCCAGGCATTTTATTTGAAACTCACTAGAACATGTAGAAGACATTTCAACCCAAATATATTTATAAACGTTCTAACTATTTGGGTTTTTTTTTAAAAGAGGATTTTTTAAGGTTTTTTTTCTTTCGGTTGACATGGCAACCAGAGTTCTGCATGGAAATTAATTCTTTAGGTGACCACCAAAAAAACATTTATGTATCATAACGACATTTGGATCGCGATGTAATTCCAAAATATCATAATGCCTCGTAGATCTGTAATGTGATCGATGTCATTAGATCCCAAGATTTATAAAGCCATGTAAATCTTCTTATAAATCCATGTGATGGTTGCCATGTGATTGCAAAATATCATTATGCCATGTGATTCTATTACATAGCGGATGGCCATACGACTTAAAATACGATTTAAAACACAATACATAGATGTTTTAACTGTCATGCTTCTCCAATTGACTTCAGATTTCAATTCAACGAAAATTTTCTTTAGTCCTGAATTGAAATTGCATTACTAAACTGACAATAGTTTACAATAAGTATAGTTTATGATGGCTAAACAACTTGCAAGAACTACAGAATATAGCTATAGTTTTTATTTAAATTTCCATTCTCTATACAGATAAATTCCTACACAGATGAAATTCACATTTCACAACCAATGATGTACTAGATAGTCATACATGAAATATCTAACACTAACATTATCATGACATAAGTTATAAGTTAATGTTGTAAAGAACAATAAACACTTAAAACTCTTGGTTTTATATGGATAGGAGAAATTATACTGTATAAAACCGATATATTGGTCTATGTTTCTAAACTCTCCGGCTCATTTTAGCAATTCTGTATAACATTTAAAATACCCTAATATAATAACAACATCTACGACTATATGTATAGTATGACAAAAATGCTTCATCAGGTTTCATATATATGTAATTATAATCAGATGAATAATCTCTGACAATATTTTAAACTAGAACTATCACTAAATGTGATTAATACCCCCGCAAGACTGCTTTGGAAATTGGGAAGTTACTAGTCACTAGTTACTAGTAACAGAATACCTTGCAAAAGAATTGGAAAAGAGTTATGGTTGTGGGAAATTAAAGATAGTTGTGGTTCTTGTATGTTGCATTTCCTTTTAATGTGGTTGACTATTGATGAAATTATATTGAATTACTCTGTAATAAGTCCAGAAAGAGTTACGCTTCTTGAGCACTGCACTTTCCCTCATTGCACTTGACAATTGTATGAAGTTCCATTAAACATTAGTTTTTAAGTAATGCACCGGACAAGGAAAAAGAACAAAGGGCAATAACTCTACAAATACTGAAGATGGAGTAATGGTTATTGTACACTGCACTTCCTCTCATTGCCTTTTACCATTGTATGAAGTTGTACTGAATTCCAACTACTAGTTTTCAAGTTATGCACTGGACAAAAAATAACAAAGGGCAATAACTGTAATTTGTTCAAATAGAGATATAGTTCTTGTGCACTGCACTTCATCTCACTGCCCTTGACAATTGTATGAAGTTTCATTGAATTCCAACTATTAATTTTCAAGTTATACACTGGACAATAAAAAGTAACAAAGGGCAAAAACTCTTAAATGAGTCAAGAAAGAGTTATGGTTTCTGTGCACTGCACTTCCTCTAAATGTGCTTGATCATTGTAGTCTTCTAGTTATGCTCCGGACAAAAAAAAGCAATGGAAAAGTAACAAAGGGCAATAACTCTGTAATTACTTTGGATAGAGTTATGGTTCTTGTGCACTGCACTTTCTCTTATTGTGCTTGACCATTGTATGAAGTTGTTTTGAATTCCTACCAGTAGTTTTCAAGTTATGCTCCGGAAAAGGAAAAGTAACAAAGGGCAATAACTCTGTAATTAGTCAAGATAGAGTTATGGTTATTGAGCACTTGCTCTCAATGTGCTCAATCATTGTATGAAGTTGTATTGAATTCCAATCAATAGTCTTCAAGTTATGCTCCGGACAATTAGTCAAGATGGAGTCATGGTTCTTGTACACTTCACTTCCTCTCAATGTGCTTGATCATTGTATGAAGTTTCATTGAATTCCAACCATTAATTTTCAAGTTATGCACTGGACAAAAAGAAAGCAATGGAAAAGTAACAAAGGCAATAACTCTGTAATTACTTTAGATAGAGTAATGGATTTTGTGCACTGCACTTCCTCTTATTGTGCTTGACCATTGTGTGAAGTTGTTTTGAATTCCTACCAGTAGTTTTCAAGTAATGCTCCGGAAAAGGAAAAGTAACAAAGGACAATAACTCTGTTATTAGTCAAGATAGAGTTATGGTTTTTGTGCACTTCCTCTCAATGTGCTTGATCATTGTATGAAGTTGTATTGAATTCCAATCAATAGTCTTCAAGTTATGCTCCGGACAAGGAAAATGATACGGACCGCTGGACCGAACGACCAACCGACCGACCACTGAGTAACTCCTATATAACCCCCCAAACTTCGTTTCGGGGGTATAATAAGTAAAATATATCTTACTTAACAACAAGCAATCCAACAAAATATGTTTTATTATATGACCTAAACTTGCCTTGTTGACTTTTTATAATAAGCATGCCCTCCTTCAGACTACTGGCTTATGCCTCATCATTGTCATAACTATTCAGATATTAAAAGAGAAATATAGTGACTAAGAAAAACAACTTAACTATACTTTTTTTTAGTTATGGCACTTTTATTTATATATTGCATTAACTTACACAGATACAACAAAAAAGACTTACATATGTCACCAGTATAAAGATAGGCCACACCTGTGCTTCCATATAGTCGGAACAAATTCTAGATTTTGGGGTACTTATTTTTCTGAATTCTAATACCAAAAGTTTTCACAATAAAAATCGATGGGTTTTGATTTCAAAACTATAGCAGAAGACCATAATACAAATTAAGTATAGAGGATTAACAATAAAGTTATGATTCCAAACGGTAGTCAACTCTAAACCTGTCAAAGTTAGTTATAAATTTAAAATACATGTACATGTATTCCGTATCAAAATGCGAAAGCTGTTTTAAAATAGATGTCTAGTTGGTATGACTGCACAAATTTGCAACCTGGCCCAATTCCAATTGTAGCAGGTCAGTCATTACAGCTCTTGGGCACAAAATGTATTTCATAAAGTATGAAAGATCCAACCTGTATGATTGAGAAGAATACAACAAACTTTTACACTGTGGTCTGTGATCAAATATTTCCTCCTTTACTAGCTACATGTATGCTATTATCAAACATAATGGCACAAAATTACTCGATTTTCGTAGGTCTACATCAAATATTGAATCAAGTAAAACATTCCTAATTCTATATTTTACCTCTTATAATACTATAATTGCATGCATAGAAACATTTTTTTTTCAAACATAGAAATATATTAAGAAGTAATCACAACAAATGTTTTTCAGTCTTTCAGCTTAAAAAGAATACAGCTAAAATAAGAGGAAAAAATAAAATACTAACAAGACGGCCTTTTTACTGAAACAATTGTGTAATGTTCTTGACTAGACCAAGTAAATTTCAAATAAACACTGAGGGAATAGCTGATATTTAAATGTTTGCTAGGATTTAAAGTTTTAATTGAAATTGACACAAATTTTCTGTCAGATTTACACAAAAGCCTTCATTAAATCTTAAAATATATATCAAGCAGTTTGTGTTTTTTTTTAAAAGAAATTACTAACTAAAACAGGAAAATAATACGATGTTGGCATGTACATCAAAACATGTACAATAAAGCACATTTTAGTACACAAGGTATTACATGAACATTGTACATTATACAAAAGCTTAAAGAAAAGCATTTAAATGTGGTATCTCTGCAGGAAACCTTTTCATAATCTATGTTAGACAAGCTATTCATTTTTAAATATCTTATCCCCTTCATATATGTATTAACTGTTGCAAGCTAAATTGATATTCTGGTTTTTTAAACCAGTATAGAATGGCTTCTTTTTGAGTAAGTCAAAGTGTTACCTACTGCCCCATGTTAGAACAAATCAGAAGAACATTTGAATAAAGTTTGCTTGTTTTCTGTTATCAAGTACAGGAAAAAATACACCCAACAAGATTTAAGAATGTAAATTTGTATGGGAATGAAAGAGCGAATATAATTAGACTTAATAATTGACTTTTAAGATATTCCTTGAGGGAACAAAACTAAAATTAAATATAAGGTTGATGGCCAACTAGATAAGGCTAATATGATAACACTCAACTTAATGCCATATACATTTCACAAAAAACATAATATTAAATACACTTTAATATAAATCAATCAGAAACATTATTAACAGACTACATCAAATCAACCAGAGATACCCCTAAATATAATGTACATTTCAAACATTTATATAAAACATTGTCTATAAGGCTAACTATACATTACAGAGAGATAATATTGCATATTGTAAGGTAATAACATGCATGTTTGGTAGGACTAGAGAATTGTCATAACCTAGGCAAGATCAATGCAGATGGGACATTTTATTACTACCCATGCCATGACAACCGATCCCTATATAAAATTATCTTTTTGTACAACAATATGTTATTTGGAATATTCATTACCTCCCATATACATATTCATTAAACAGAAATTCTAGATGCATAACATGTATATACAATATATAAGAGTAAAATGAGACAAGTCAGAATGTTTTTAATATTTTCATAAAATTCAAAACCCATAAAACCATGTTGCTACCATAATCTTATAACAGTCGATTCACAAAAGAGTTTTAATATAGAACATTTCTGCTATTCACACATGGATTCATTACGTAAACAGTATTAAATGTTCCAGAACAAAATATTATGATGTTACTTTAAGGAAGATTTTATGCACTTAGCAATGATTGAGTGTATGGGAAGTTCACTTTTAAGGACATATACCAACATATTTCTTTCATGCAGGTATCTTTCAATAATTATTACTCTTTAAAATTCAAAGAAAATAATTTGTAAACTGTAGGAAGCAGCAGATATACAGCTTTATATACTTTAAATGCAATTTATAATTATTTTATATTGTTTGGTAAAAGTAAAATAACTGTTACAAGATATTATATTAAATCTTCGATTTCAAAAGAAATGACTTTCCGCCATTCACATGAAATAAACACTGAAATCAAAGTCATAATAAGAAAATTTTACTGACAATGTTGAGAGCAAAAACATATTATCTTCCTGTCTAACATTAATGCAACAATTTATAATCATAGTCATACATGATAAACAGTTATATGCTAAAAAGCAACTTCTTTAGCAAATTCACTCAAGGCAGAGTCAAAAATCTCATGTTAAAAAATCCAACTTTAAGATAGTTAGAAAATATAAGATTATTATTTATATTAAAGTGCCTACATTTTATCATACAAAGTATGTTGTTGATAAAAAGAAAACCGACACTTTTTCTCAGTGCCGGATAATGTTGAAAAAAGACAGCATAGAAACAGGGGCATAATTATGCAGACATGCTAAAGCATCTTAATAGTCAACAAATATTTTTAAAAGAATACCTTAACAGTTTTTTTTCTACCCCTGAGAAATGCATTTCAAATTTAGGAGTGATCAAGAACTCCAAGTTTAAAGTGAACATTTTTGATGCTTTTCTTAACAAAACGTTAACCAAAATTTTAAAGTCAAAAATGGGGAACTGAGAAAAAAACAAACTCTAAAGTTATCTGTCCTTCAAAATAATTTAGGATTATCTGCCCTGCTAAAACTCGTCTTTTTATGACAATAAACATGTAGTGAAAAGCTTTTATACTTCCTGCGAAAAATGGACCTTAACGTAAAGATTAACCATCACAGATGCAGACACCAACGTCAACACGACAGTAATTACAATAACTCCACTTTTTCTCTTTGAAAAGTGAAGCTAAAAACATACTTAGACGCTTAGCTCTAGATTCAAAGGAACTGAATTTCCGGTCTTCACATGATATAAACACTGAAATCAAAATTATAAGCAAAAACTTTTTACTTTTACTGAAAAATGTTGAGAGCAAAGTCATAATTTTAACAAAAACACCAGATTTTATCCAATCACACATTGGCTATGTCTCTAGACTAGAGCCCCTATCCTGGTTCCTGGCCAACTCCACAATGTCGGTCATTTTGTCTATTTTAGGTTTAAGATATACACCACACCATTCATCAACAGTATCAGGAAAGAAAACAATGTTTAGAGAAGTCTCAAACTTTTTATGTAAAAGTTTTAAGCCATTTAGAAGCCTGAAATGCAACAACAAAAGAAAATATCGGCATTTCTGGTATCAATGAGAAATTGTTAAGAATCGGAAAAAAACCTTCCTATGACGTAGGTATATGTATATTAATTTAGCATGATTTTGATGTCAATGTAAGTTGGATATTCACTTGCTTTCAGTTTCAAAAAAAATCTTAAGTAAAGGCATGCACAGACGAAACACAATATTCAAAACAATTTTAAGTAAAAAGTATTCAGTTTTTATGAAAACTAACAATTGAATGTATAATTGTTATACCCAATAAAGGCTTATTCTTTTTTTTTTTTCGCTGGACATTAAGATGAAAATTTTAAGTTGGTCAGCCAACAACATAGAGCCTGATCAGACTGCACAGATAGAAAAGCTGGCCTGACTAGTGGCAAAAGCTAATAAATATAACTGTTTGAACATCAATATATTTAAGCTGAAATAACAACCAGAAATAAACACATACACAAAAACAAGCATTTACTGTTGACCACAGGGTGCCTCAAACAATTAACATAGAGGCATTTGCTTTATTCCAAATCTTGTAAACTTACAATGTTATGATATTATTTGTTCTAAAAAAATCTCTAATCCCCCCAAAATGAAATTTCTATAAAAGTTGATACTGTACCGTAAGACAGTGTGCATACATACCTTACTGCTTGAGCCAGAAGTGCTTCTAGATGCATTGGGTTTGTGAAGTTTCTACGCATGTGATATTCATTCATCCACGACAATCTCCTACAATAAACCGATCAAAATTAACCCTCAAGTTACAAACTTAAATTTACAATTGATTATAAATCATTTTACATGTTCTCGTTCATCAAGCTGTATATACTGTTTATATTTGGCCCACCAATATGTTTGAAAAGAACATCAAAATTTGTGTAAAAAGGTGTATAAATTGAGCTAAAAAATAAGATTTATCTTGTAAAGATCATAATATAAGTATCTATGTAACTTTTCGAGGAAGCTTACGTAACTTAAAATATTTAAAGCCTAAGAGTTCTTAACAATTATCACACAGAGTCGAAGTTGTGATTTCAACTATCACTAAAGAAACTCCACTAAGATCCATGGTTTAAAAACATCAAATTTGAAATTCTTAAAGTGATTAATGAGTACACATAAAACAGAAAATATATAAATAAACAAAATTATAAAGAAATATACTCCACATTTTACTTGAAAATTATTTCTTAGTACTACCTTTAGCCAGATTTTTTGTTAAAAAATGTTGAGCAACTTTTCATTGTTGTGGCCATTTTTCACAATTATGAAAACAATTATTCTGGAAAAACGAAAGAAACGAATGATATGGGATTTAGCAATTAAGTTATTTATCAATACGTACATCAAATTGTAATATACACCTGATGATGACAAATGTATGAGAAAGTAGCACAAACAAAATTATGTTTGAAAGATAAGAAGTAGATTAACTGTTGTAAATGATGCAGCTGATGATTTTATCCAAAATTACTTTACACCTTGCAATGCCTGGACAGGCAAATAGACAGGCAGACAGACAGACAACTCTGCATTATAATACATCCTAAAGTTATATCTTTGGGGGCGTATAAAATTGGTAAAATATAGAAATGGTAAAAATTCAAGTATTTTATAGAGGAACATACCCTTCACTATGCAGGAAATCCTCATAGGCAGCTTCTAACCTGAGTAGTTCTATTGTGTCTTTATAAATATCTGAACCAGGAAATTCACATGCTGGAATGTCCTTCCTATGAAAAGTGAGCAAAAAATACCATGACCTTTCTTTATAAATTCTCCCCAAAAACTGTCAATGACAATAGTGAATAAACTGATATTGAAAGATATTTGTTAGTTTGTCTAGAATTTCTGTATAAACCAAACTCTCCAAGAACTTTGCCATGCAAAAAATGTCATACCTGAGCAAACTAGAAAAAGGAAAAACAGCTTGAAAAGTAATTCAATTAGAAATATATGTACATAAAATTTATTAAGAAAGATCTTCATCTTTCAAAACTATTCTGGAACAAACATCCTCACATGCCACTTTATCAGAAGGATATTATGAAAAATATAAATCATAGTATTACTGACTTAGATATTATGTTCTCTACACACATTTAGTATGGACATTTACAAAGAAAAGTAACTCCTTATTATATATAAACAGAGTTACAGCTCTTTGACATCCCACTTTACCACATCAAGATTTATTTATCCAATAAGTTCCAATGTTGATACAATGTAATTTTAAATTTTTTAGCTCCAGATAAAAATAAACAAGAGGGTCATTTAGGCCACAAGGATGGGGCCAATTTTAACCCCAGGACTTTAATTTAGACACCCATTAGAAGATGTTTCATGCTAAATATCTAAGCTCTAGCTCTTTGGGTTTTTTAAAAGAAGATTTTTAAAGTCTTTATGAACAGACGAAAAATCAAGGATAATGTGAAAAGCAATGCCATACTTTAGTCATACAGATTTGTAAAGAATTCAACGTAGAAGTATTACAATATTATCTCATTTTTCTTTTAAATTATTAATATTAATACACTTTAATCATTGGTAATTATGCAAAACATGAGATCAGTAATAGCATTTTAATTTAAGAACACCTGTCTTTAATGATCTCACAATGTTATATTGCATAGGATATACTTATACACACACATGTTAAACATGGTTTAATATCTACGTCAAATTATTTCAAAAATTTTAGTCAATACATTATACACGGATCAATATTTAAATCACAAAGTACTCCAATATTAAAATAGGAAAATAAAGCTATACCATACATACTAATAATACCTATATAAAACTAGAAGAACTATCGCTGAATGCGATTCATACCCCCACCAATGTCCTTGACAGAAGACGACTTGGAAAGGTGGTTAAGGCAATTACAAATATATATACATAAAAAGAAATTATCTCTGGTGAAAAAAAAGACAAATTATAAGGTAATAGTATAAAAATATATTGTCAAATCATGTTCGAAACAGTTACAAATAACCTTAAATTTTCCCAATGTACTAAAACAAAAAAAAGCAGTGAAGTTAAGAAAATAGCATAATTATGTCAAAATGTAATTAAGAGTGGAAAAACTTTGCATACTTAGCTTACTTGTGACCCTTCATATATTATATAGTTTCAAGTGAATTTCTGTTCTAGTTTCAAAAACATTTAAGTATTAATGGTTATATCAGAACATCTTCTAAGCCTAAAAGGGGCATAACTTGTGTCATAATTCAGTGGAATTGTAGAAGTTTCCTCATCTGAGCTTACTTGTAACCATTCATGTAAATTTTAAGTTTCAAGTAAATATCTGTTCTAGTTTAAGAAATATGACATCAAAATGGACTTAACTTTGTCAAAATACTATATAAAGTTATCCCCCAACTTTTTTTTAGTTATGAAACTTGACCTGCATATCTTACTTGCGACACTTCGTATATATATATATATATGAAGTTTCAAATGATTATCTGTTCTTGTTTTAGAAATATTCAAGTACATGTTAATTTTTCAGAACATTTTATAAGTCAATTTTTTACCTTCAAGTGTGGCCTTGACCTTAAGCTGGCACAAGGGTCAGAAAGGTTCTGCACATTGCCCAGTTGGGATAAACATTTGAGTCAAGTTTGAAGAAAATCCTTCCATTAGTACAGAATTTATAGAGCGGACACGACATATTGTCTAGTATTGATTGTATGTAAATTTAATGACTAAAAAGGGGGCATAACTTTGTCAAAATGCAATACAAAGTTATGAAACTTGACCTGCATATCTTACTTATGACAACTCATATATCTTTCAAGTTTCAAGCAAATACCTGAAATTTTCAGAAATATTCAAGTACATTTTAAAATTTAAGAACATATTTTACCTTTAAGTGTGACCTTGACCTTAAGCCGACACAAAGGTAACATGGGTTCTGCACATAACCTTCTTGAGGTGAACATTTGTGTAAAGTTTGAAGAAAATTCTTCCATTAGTATAGGATTTATAGAGCTGACACGACTTATTGTCTAATATTTGATTGTATGTAAATTTGAAGACTTAAAAAGGGGCATAACTTTGTTATGAAACTTGACCTGCATATCTTAATTGTGACAATTCATATATATTTTAAGTTTCAAGCAAATACCTGTGCTAGTTTCAGAAATATTCAAATACATGTTAAAAATATTTTCTTAGTCAATTTTTGACCTTCAAGTGTGACCTTGACCTTAAGCCGGCAAAAGGGTGACATGGGTTCTGCACATAACCTTGTTGAGGTGAACATTTGACCCAAGATTGAAGAAAATCTTTCAATTAGTGTAGGACTTACAGAGCGGACACAACATACTGTCTAATATTTGATTGTTTGAAATCTGACCTTTAATTGTGACAAAGCGAATCCATTACTACCCCCCCCCCCCCCACACACACACACATATTGTGGTGGGGGTATAATGAAAAGCGATGTAAAACATACAGATTTTAGCTTGTTTAGCTTATCATAGAATCAATACTCTATGTTAAACTTATTTTTCTTAACAAGCAAAAAAAAATAACTTGGCGAAAATGGCGGACGGAGGTATTGGATCAGATAAATTTGTCAACTTTAAATGTTGTTTATGTGAAAAGAAAAATATAACAAAACAGGCAGATATTTATTGTGTGAAATGACAGGATTATTATTGTTTACCATGTACAGACTGGCACAGTTTTTTTTCCTGCGAAGGACCTGCATCGGTTTATAGACAAACCAAGTTTCAACACTGCTAAATCGGTGCCAAATTGTCCAGTTGAAAAGTGTGAAGCTCATAAAACCAAGTTGCTAGATATGTTTTGTGCAGATCACAATGATATAGCATGTGCGATTTGCATAGATATAAAGCACAGGTAAATCTTACTTGGAATCTTTGATTAAAATTTTGAATCAAATTGAAACTAAACTGTATGCTGTCACATTATTCAATCAATGTAAAAATGAATATCTCTCTTAGCTATTACCATATAACAAGCATATCACACAAGCTCACTTTTAATTTTGTTGATATTTTTGCTCTAAAATTATTTCTCATTTGCTTCAATTGATATAAAATCAACGTTAATCGATGCAATGATATGACACTGTGTATATACATGAAAAATAGAAAAGATAGAAAACAAATTTTAAGAATAAGCATGTATTTTAAATGCCATGTAAACTAAGAAATAAAAGAGAAAACTTTGGAATTATTGTCTTACATTTTTTTCTCAAATCTGGAGACAATTGGTTAGTCATAATACATGTATTTTACACTGTAATCTTAACTTTTTTAATGCTCAGAATTGAAGTTATTTTCAAATTAAAATTTTCAGAACATGTATATATGTAAATTTAGTCTTAAATGAAGTTGGTAGCTGGTATAAGACGACAAATCTAGGGTTAAACAAATACAGAGCTCCTTCATATAAAAACTAAAATTGGGGACAAAGAGAGAGCAAAGACACTTATTGTAAAAGAGCTTAAAGCACAGATGGACAAGTCTGTAGTGTCAATAAGACACTTCAGAAAAGAATTGGAAGTAATACTGGACACATTTGAAAACGCTTCATTAAAAAGTTTAAAAGAAAAGTACAAACATGCTAAAGAGAAGATAGAGAATGATATCAAGAAGCTACAGAAACATATTGATGAACTTAAACTTTCATCACAAAAACTTAAAAAATCAGTATGGAATAAAGTACAAGGGTTTGTCACTGTAAAAACTTCTCAGAAATAAATTGTTGATTCTTATGAAACAGAAATGTTATTGACAAATGCAGCAGATGTTAAAGTTGAATTCATTGATGATTCAACAATAAAGGATGCCTTAAAAGACTGTGAGACATTTGGATTGATTTCAGTGACTGTAACAGGCAAACTGTATGTTGTGAAAAGCAAGAGACAAGTCAACATCAAACATGTAAATGATAGAACATCATGTCATGTTCAGGGTACATGCTTCACTGATGATGGTCTATTATTTCTAGCTGACTATAACAACAAACCATTAAAGCTTATTGATTTGTCCTCAGAATCCATAAAAGACCACTTAGATTTGACATGCCTCCACATACAATTTGCAAAATAATCAAGAACGACTTTGCAGTAAGTCTAAACAACCAAACCATTCAATTTGTTTCAATGGGTGATAAACTTATTACTTCCAAACAACTGAAGCTAGATCATCACTGTTACGGACTGGTCTACAAAGACAAAAAATTATTCATCTTTAATAATAATACAGCACTCTACATTCATGATATGAATGGCACATTGTTGCAAACAATTACAACTGATAAACAAGGTAATGCAATCTTCAGTAACAGCAGACATATCAGTGTCAGCAGTGATGGCAAGATGATTTATGTGGCTGATCCTTGTAAAGGTCTGATTGTCCTTGACCTTGAGGGAAATTACCAGACAACAATTACTGATCCGGATTTTGTTTATCTATGTGGAGTTTGCACGGACAAACGTTGAAACATATGTGTGTGTGGATCGGGGCAGTCAAAACTTGTCCAGATCAATGAGAAGACTGATGTTAAATTGGGAGCCCTTGGAAATGTTTCTAAAAGTTTTCCCACAAGCTTTGATTTGAAACATAATAGACTGGTGGTTACAAATTTGTCTAGTAATATGATAGAGGTGTATGATATATTCTTAGTCTACCATACTGAAATAAAACTAGTGACATCAAACTGAAGTTAAGATGTGCACTATCATAGCTTATGTAAATCACAATGATGAACAGCATTATTATCAATTTTTCATTCTTACTTTTAATTGGGGTCCATTTGAAAAAAAATGTTTTTTTTTTCAAACATTCTTTTTGGTTGAGTTTTAAGGACATTTTATGCTTCAGAAACAAACCAAATTTTATTTCCTATGAAAAGGCAACAATGGGATTTACAATAGAGCTGATTATTAAAGTTTTAACCTAAAAGATATATGGAAAACCCACGATTCCCAGAAAATGGCTAACTTTGACCCCATAATTTAAATGACAAAACTTTGATTATGTCCAATACACAATGTTTCATGCAAAATACCAAAGCTCTAATCTGATATGATTTTAAAAGACATATAAGGAAAATCAATGAACCTACGGCTTATATTCGAACAAGCTTGGTAGAGGTCCACTTGATGTTGACTCATGACAAATATCTAAGCTGGAACGGCTTCGGGGAGAAGATATTTAAAGAATTTACTATAAACATATACGGAAAACCCATGACCCTTTAGGCGAGGCTAGTTTTAATCCATGGTCTCCAAACAAAATTGGTAAAGTTTCCACCTTATACCAAATATCATAGCTTTACCCAGAGGAGATGATTTATAAAGATTTTTTTTCGGTTGCCATGACCAGCAGTTTTTACATGAAATGAATATTTCTGAACAACTTTTAAAGATCACCCGAAGATCATTTCTAGAAATGTTGTTCACAAAGAAGAGGACGGATGCCGGATGATGGAAGTTTAGTGATGACCTCACTTTGAAGAATATGTGCTCTGGTAAAGCTAAACAGTTACCGCTCAAAGTAAATTCAAAGACATGTGGGATTAGTGACACAATCAAGTCATTATAACTCTGAAATGAAACAAGCCTGTTGAACGAATCCTGAATTTTTTAAAGTTAAATGAATTCTAAAACGGACTTTTAACTTATTGTGTTGTAAAATAAAAAGACATAATATTATTTATCACACACCTGTGCCGATTTTGCGACTCCGTAAATATGGTATTGCACGGCCATGCATATCCTCTATATAATCAAATAAAACAACAGGTGCATCTTTATATTTTGCATCCCATTTTGAGTTGTTAGATCTTGTATTAAAATGGAAGACATAAAGCAGTCCCTCATTCAAGCTATGTTTGTAAACACCAAGAATAAAGCTCAATATAATCAATTTGAATGACCAATGTTGCTTGAAATAGAAAATGTAGGGCAAAAGATAAATCAGAGCTTCTACCGGCTTTGGAAACCTGTTGTAAATATAACATGGGTAAGTGCACTTCAGAAAAGTTCAATTATGAGTGTATGGACAGGATAGTAATAATTATTGTCCATGGTTTTTGCAGTGAGGCGTTGGTAGTGCATATAGCTTTTACCTGCCACCCCTGTGTACTTTTAAATTTGAGATTGTACATTCTTAATCATATTTAAATCTAAAGTATAATGTGTATAAAAATATTTACAAGATCAACAAACAAAATTTGATAGGCTATGTTTTATGTGTGTACCTAACTACCTTAAATGATGATTCGTACTGTCCTGATTGTTTTTGTAAATATTGAAAATTGCATGAATTGAGTTTTCCATTATTGTGCTTATTTTAATTACACTTAAATTATTACATAAACGTTGAAATAAGTCATTGCACTGTTATATAGTACCTTTCTTTAGTGACCTAAATATTTTCATATTATATTTATTATATATTTACCGTCATGTTTTAAATAAACTCAAAAATTGTACACTGATAATACAGTGGTTTAATCAAAATCTAGTACGATTCAAACTACTCTATCGATATTACCATATTTGCTGTTTTACATATTGAAGTTAAACTTATTATACTGATTATCAATAATCTCTGATATGTTTGTTTGTAGTAACTAGGAAGTAAAAAAGTAACTGTATAAAATGGAGGACGGAGGTTTTGGATCAGATGAATTTGTCAACTTTAAATGTTGTTTATGTCAAAAGAAACATATAACAAAAGAGGCGGATATTTATTGTGTGGAATGTCAGGATTATTATTGTACACCATGTACAGATGTGCACAAAATGTTTCCTGCAATGTGCACACATCAGTTTATAGACAAGACAAGTTTCAACACAGTAAGCTTACAGAAATCATTGCCAAGTTTTCCAGTTGAAAAATGTGGAGCTCATAAAACGAAGTTGCTAGATATGTATTGTGCAGACCACGATGATGTAGCTTGTGCGACCTGCATAGCCGTAAAACACAGGTTAGAATCTTTTAAGTGTATAAAGCTATATATCTGATGCAAAATTTATTGTTTGGATTTTAAAAAAGAATATTTCCAAAATGCTTGTATGAAATAACACAGGTTAGATTCTCTAATTATAATATTAAATTTAACTGAAACCATTGCATTTTTCAATCAATGTACAACCACCTGAAACTGAATTAAAGACAATTCATATCTCTGTTGTTATAATTATCACACAAGCATGTAGACAACAAACAAGCACATAATACATGTTCCAATTCATATAAGATTCTGTGGCAGAGATTTCAAACACCCTTTTTTTACACTTGTACACTTTTAATTTTCCACCACATTAGAATAGAAGACGAGAACGAACGTTTAAATCCACATATTTTATTTTCTATTTGTTCACATTTTTGGTTGTATCACTACTTTACTATATTCTATATAGTCCAGAAACATACAAATCAGAGCGTATATTTGTACCAAAATTGTTATCACCAAAAAAGTATGAAAATCATGATTTAGAGTAAACCTAAAGAGTAATGTTTTCCCGCCTTAACTATATGGAGCGAGATAGTTATATAAGAAACATTTGGAGCAATTAAGAATTATGGAGCATGTCAATATGAACACAAAAAGAAGCATTAATATGTTAAATCAACGAGTATTTCGTGGAATTAACGATAATCTCAGTTTATCAGTGTGAAGATTTCATGACCAGCATCAAAACAAACAAGGGGGCCAACTGCCCTCATCTGAAGACTTTTATTCATGTAAGGGCCTATTTTAACAATAGGGGCAAACTTTGAACAACCATGGCAGAGGACCTATAGATGATATTATAATATTATTCCAAATATCTAAGCTCTAAGCATTGTACCTTCAGAATAGAACTTTTTAACATTTTTACTTTATACATTTAAGGAAAACTTATGACCTCGGGGTGGGCCAATTTTGACCCCAGGGCTATAATTTGAACAATTTTAGTACAGTTCGACTACACAAAAATGCTTCATGCCAAATATCTAACCTAGCTATATCCTTTTTCAATTCAGAGGAGAAGCTTTATAAGATTTTACTATATATACATATAAGAAAAACCTATGACCCCTGGGGTGGGGCCTTTTTTACATTAAGGGCTAATTTTAAACAACTTTTGTAAAGGAACTATAGATAATATTACATACCAAATATCTAAGCTCTAAGTTTTGTACCTTCAGACAATTAGATTTTTTAAGTTTTTACTATATACATGATTTTAAGGAAAATCTATGACCCTCGAGGCTGGCAAATTTTGACCCCAGGGCTATAATTTGAACAGTCTTGGTAGAGTTTACAGATATTTCTAATGCCATGTTACCTAAGTAAGACAAACTGCCTCAGCATAATGACCAATCAGTATGTGAAATATGAAGTCTTTGTGGTAAATAGTTTTTAAGATAATCAGGGGAAACCATGTGGTCTACCGACGGACAGTCTGACAGACAAACAGACAGACATTTGCAAAACAATATACCCCATCTTCTTTGAAGGGGGCATAATAAAGATGTAAGAAGGAAGTATTGTAAAACAAGAACGTGTTTGTTAAACACAAATGCCCCCCGGCTCCGATTCTTGTCAGTAAGTTTTATTTCAAAAAATGTTTACCCATTCACTCAGTTATGGACAGAAAAATTGCCAAAAAATTGTAAACACAAGTTATATAGCTTGACAGAGTCATGGCATTTTGTAATTGTGAAATATATAAGTTGCCAAGTCATTGCTATGACTTGTGAAGTGATAAATATTCAACTTCATCAAATATATATAAATGTAAGAAATCTATACTTGGCACCCTTGACCTTGACCAACGGACACCTATAGAATATCCTACCAAATATGATATACACCTGTCAATAAATAAAGGCTGTATGGGCAAAAATGTTAAAATCTATTTTGAGCATTGATGACCTTGACCAAACTGACCCCTAACTCCATCCAAAGGAAGAATACCATGCAAGTTATCTTCAAACCAAATATGAAATAAATCTGTCAATAAATAAAGGCTGTATGTGCAAAAGTGTAAAAATCTATTTTTAGCACTTGTGACCTTGACCCAACTGACCCCTTCATCCATCCCAAGTAGGAATAACATGCAGGTTATCTACCTACCAAATATGAAATATATCTGTCAATAAATAAAGGCTGTATGGGCAAAAGTGTAAAAATCTATTTTTAGCACAAGTGACCTTGACCCACTGATCCCTATCCCTATCAAAAGAAGGAATACCGTGCAAGTTATCTTCGTACCAAATGTGAAATATATCTGTCAATAAATAAAGGTTAACCATTATTCATTTTCTAAGTGCTGAAAAGGGCAATAACTTGGTAAATATGGAAGCCATAGTTATGTAACTTGACCAGATCATGTACTTTGTATTGATTAGTAAGTGTGTAAACTAAGAAGCCATTGGTACAGGTAGAACTTAAGAAAAATCCAACTTGCAGTTCTAGGTTAACCTCGTACGGACAGACGGACGGACGGTTCAATTACTATATGCCCGGGGGCATAAAAATACTTACTCACTTTACCAGCTGTACTTATATATTGCCAAAATGCAATAGAAACAAAATAAGGCTTAGCTTTAAATGTATGGCTAATGAGTAATTTTTTGTAAACTGTAATAGGGCACCAAAATATAGCATTAATGAGATTAAATGAGCCTTTAACTTATATAACAAATCATTCTGATAATTTTATTATTTTTTTTACATTAAATTTTTCAGAACATGTCAACATATACATTCGGTACCAGATGAAGTTGATGACTTGTGTAAGGAGATTGTTGCTGATGAAACAAATATTGAGCTGATTCGTATAAAAACTAAACTTGAGGGCGCTAAGAGGGCAAAGAAACTTCTTGTAAAGGAGCTCGATGCACAGAAGGACAAGGCTGTAGAGTCAATAAGACAAGTCAGAAAAGAAATGGAAGGAATACTGGACACACTTGAAAAGGCGACATTAAAAACGTTAGAGGAAAAGTACAAAAATGCCAAAGAGAAATTAGAGAACGAGATTAAAAACCTACATAGACATATTGATGAACTCAAATTATCATCACAAAAGCTAACAAAGTCTGTTGGGAATAAAGCACAGGAGTTTGTCACTGTGAAAACTTCTCAGAAACAAATCAAGGAAGCTAATGAAGCAGAAACAGAGTCCGTGACAAATTCATCAGATGTTAAAGTTGAATTCATTGCTGATTCAACAATAAAGGATGCTTTGAAAGACTTCGAGACATTTGGATTAATTTTAGTGAGTAATACTGTAAAAATAAGAGACAAAATGAATGTTGTGAAAAGCAAGAAACACGTCAACATCTCCCATGTAAATGATAAGGTGACATGTTATGTTAATGGTTCATGCTTCACAGATGATGGACTATTATTTATAGCTGACTTGAACAACAACACATTAAAGCTTATTGATTTGTCCACAAAATCCATTAAAGATCGTCTAGATCTTGATGCACCTCCATTAAGTATTTGTCAAATAAACAAAAACAACTTTGCAGTAAATTTGAACAATAACACCATCCAATTTGTTTCAATGGGAGACAAACTTATTACCACCAAACAACTGAAGCTTGGTCATTACTGTTACGGACTGGCCTACAAAGACAACAAATTATTCATCTCTGATCAAAATGCTGCACTTTACATTCATGATATGAATGGCACATTGTTGCAAACAATTACAACTAATAAACAAGGCGATGCAATCTTCAGTAGCAACAGACATATCAGTGTTAGCAGTAATGGCAAGATGATTTATGTGGCTGATCTTTGGAAAGGTCTGATTGTCCTTGACCATGAGGGAAACTACAAGACAACAATCACTGATCCTGATTTAGTTTCCTTACAGGGTGTTTGTACGGACAAACATGGAAACATATTTGTGTGTGGATCGGGGCAGTCAAAAATTGTTCAGATCAATGAGAATTCTGGGGGGAAAATGGGAGTTCTAGGGGATGTTGGTAATAGTAGGTCTGCTAGCTTTAATTTGCAACATAATAGACTGGTTGTAACCATTGATAACAGTGATACAATTGAGGTTTTTGATTTACTGTAAATCCAATATACTGACAGCAATCAAACTAAATATGAGTGAACTATTTACATTTAATACAAACACAAACGTCTTATAACAAAGAAAAACTTCAAATACTTTTGATGAAGACATTTTATGGATTTTTATTTTCTTTAAATTCAAGTCTCATTGAGATTTTTTTTTCAAACATTAAATCATTTTAGAATATGCTATACACTGATTACTGTGTAATAATGCAGTTTAGTTATGCTAAAATGAAGGGGATATGCTTGTATTATATTTCACTGCTTATATTCTGTGTTATTCTTATTTTTTTATTTAAATGAATAAGAGTCAGGTCATTTTTAAACAAGAACATGTTTGGTAAACACAAATGCCCCTGGCCCAGATTCTTGCCAGTAATTTTTTTTCAAAAAAGGTTTACCCATTCACACAGTTAAGGACAGAAAAATTGCCATAACAAGAACTGTCATTGGTAACAGACAAATGCTGTCCACTCCCCCTAAGCTGGGCCAAGTAGAGACCCTTGACTTGCATCAAACGTATGGTTACAATTAAAAGTGTTTCAATAATATAGAAACATTAAAAATATCATCTCATATTCTCAGTTAGCCCATGTATCAAAAGAAATATCTGTGTGTGAATGACCGAAATATGACAAGACACAATGATCAATGTAGAATTTTAATAATAACAATGATAATAATAATTATAAAGGCTTTATTTAACGGGGCTACATATTAGCCAAAACAATCTTCCATATGTAACTCAACATTTCTACAACATATTTACATCAAAATTGTACAAAAGACAATGTAAAATTATAAAACATAGTATTAACTAGTTATAAATGCAATGACGAACATTAACAATGAAAACTTCAGTAAACATTATTATATTAACATAATACTATGGTACTGGTTTAACCAGAGTTCTTCCACTATATGTAATCTTTTTTTGAATTTTTCAGTATTTTCAGACTGGCGTACATAGAGTGGTATATTATTCCAAATTTTAGTTCCAGAATAAGAAAGTGATTTTCTGTAAAACTCAAGATTAGGTTTAGGGACATGTAGATTAAGATTGTTTGTTGATCTGAGATTTCTGTAATGTAAAGTTGAGACAAATTGAAATTTCCCTATCATGTAGCATGGTGAGTTTTCTTCATGTAATGATTTGTATATCAGGATAGCCTTTTTGTACTCAACCATGTCATTAAATTTCATCCATCTTTATTCTTTGAAAAGAGGGTCAGATGGTGCATCTGTAGCTTAATTTAGGATAATGCGAGCTGCTCATTTCTGAAATTTTAGCATTCTCTCAAAAGTTCATTTGAGCAATTTCCCCAAATTGAACAGTAATAGTCTATATGAGGTAATATAAAAGCATTGTAGAAAAGTTTCCTGGCATGTAAATTGAGAAATTGTTTTAACCATAAAAGGAGATAGGGATTGCTATTGCATTTCTTTATTGTTTGTTCCACTTGAAGTTTCCATGTTAGGCAATTATCAACTTGAACTCCAAGAAGCTTTTCAGATTCAGTGGACTCTATATTATTGTTAAGTAATTGAAGTGATGTAATTGTTGATGCATGAATGCAATGTTGGGTCTTTTTTAGGCTGATATGTACATAGCTTTAGTTTTGTCTGTATTAGGTATCATAGCAACGTGAGTGCACCATTCTTGAATAGAGTGTAGGTCTTTTTGAAGTTTTAAATTGAACATCCTGTAGCACTTATTGTAGCATCATCTGCAAATATATCCATTTCTGAGTGTTCAAGATGTAAAGGTAAATCATTTATATAGATCAAGAATAATATGGGCCCTAAGACAGATCCTTGAGGGACTCCAGCTGAATCAACCAAAGACTCAGATGTGGTACCTGAAACAGATACTTTCTGAGATCTTTCTATTAAGTATGATTGGATCCACTGTAATGTATGATTTGAAAACAACTAAATTTTTCAATGAGTAGTTTATGCTTAACTAGATCAAAGGCTTTTGTTAAGTCAAGAAATATGGTTCCTACAAGATTGTTGTTCTTGATTTGATCAATCCAGTTGTCTACTTTGGATGTTAGACCAGTTTCATAAGAGTGATTTGTTCTAAACCCAGACAGTTTTTGATGAAAAAGGTTATTGTCTTCAAGAAATTGTTTGAGACTATCAGATACATGCTTTTCAATGATTTTTGATAAAACAGGTACAACAGAGATTGGTCTGTATTTATTACCCTTTTTTGTAGATTGGAATTACTTTAGCCATTTTAAATGCAGTAGGAAATTTGCCTGTATCAATACTTAGGTTAATTATTTTAACCAAATGGCTTGAGATAGCATGGCAGCTTAGATTTAAGAAACGAGCTCTTATTTGGTCAAGGCCAGTTGCTTTGCAACAGTCTAGAGTTTTAAGCATGTTCCTCACAAATTTTTCAGATATTGAGGATATTCGAAACAATTGGTCAGTTTTGAAACAATTAGAATTATGAATTCTTAGTCTAGTTTTGTATGATTCGGGTTAGTTATTGACATTAGGTGCCCTTTTAAAAATACTTGTGAAGAATTCATTAAATTGTGTTGCACTTTCACCTGGATCAGTGATTGGTTCTCCATTATCATCGTTAATGTGTGTTTTCACATTGTATAACCATCATCTTTTTAACAGTCAACCTGGCCTTTGAATGTGACAAGTTTTCCTTATGTGCAACAGAGGTATGCCTAGTTATTTCAAAATTCATTCATGGACAACAAAAATGATGACTGGGTATATCCATTGATGCACTTTATAAAAATTTAAACCATGACGTTGATTTTTAAACTACAAACTTATCACAAATTGTTTATAGAACCATATCTTTAATCCAAGTTTATTACAAAATCTGTCACTGAAGGACAAAAAGACATAGACTGGACATGACTATCAAGGCACTATCATATCATGACTTCTGACATTCAAGTATGAACTTGACCTTTGGACTGCTAAGCTAAATTTTGTTCATCATATATCTTAACAAGAATTTGTAACAGAGTAACCAAACTCCCCCGCCTCGGGGAAGTTTTATATGAAGCATAAAATTGTGCTATTTCAAAAGATTGAGGTATGGATCTCATGACTTTTAGTCCAAAATTATGATCAATGCTAGATCTGCAAATGCAACAATAAATTTATTAAAGAAATAAAATGAAACACGGAATTTAAAAATCTATAATGTTAAGCTTTGACCTCTAAGTATGACCTTGACCATGGAGGTAGATGTGCATGTGTTATGCACAACATAGTGTCTTATCATTGTAACTATTTGTGCCAAGTATTTTCAAAATCCCTTTAACTATGAAGAAGTTATAGATCGGACACAAAATATACCCTATAACAGACTATGTAAATCATTGACCTCTAAGTGTGACCTTGACCTTGGAGGTAGGGACACAGGTGCCACGCATGACATATCATCTTATCATTGTGACTATTTATGCCAAGTATTTTCAAAATCCCTTGATCTATGAAGAAGTTATGACGGGACACAAAATATACCATTTAACAGACTCTGTTTACCTTTGACCTCTAAGTGTGACCTTGACCTTGGAGGTAGGGGTGCAGGTGTTGTACTTGACATATCATCTTACTATTATGACTTTTTGTGCCAAGTTATTTCAAAATTTCTTCAACTATGAAGAAGTTCTAGATCGACACAATGTATACCCTATAACAGACTATGTTAATTTTTTACCTCTAAGTGTGACCTTGACCTTGGAGGTAGGGATGCAGGTGTTTCGCATCGTCTTATTACAGTGACTATTTGTGCCAAGTATTTTCAAAATCCTTTGATATATGAAAAAGTTATGAACCGGAAACAAAATATACCCTATAATTAACAGACTATGTTAATCTTTGACCTCCAAGTGTGACGTTGACCTTGGAGGTAGGTGACCGATCGTTGCGCATGACATATTCTCTCATTGTTGTGAACAATTGTGATGAGTATTTACAAAATCCCTTCAAAGATAAGAAATTTATAGACCGGACACAACATATACCCTCAAATAGACAATGTTGACCTTGAATGAGCAAGTAGGGGTCTGGTTGTTGTGCAATTCCTTTGATAAATGACAAAGTTATGGACCGGACACGAAAGTGCGTTGGACAGACCGACTGATAGATGGACGGACAGACAGACGGACATCCGGCCCAATTGGAATAAGGGGCCATTTCTATTGTTATACAGAGGGCCAATGACCCCTTACTCTATTGTTACGGAATGAACTCTATTGTTCTCTTTTGTTCTGTTTACAGTTAGATGGCCCTCTAACCCTATTCGGTAGTGCAGTCAGACGAAAGGAGCCTTTTTATATATCCCCCTTTTTTCTTCGAAAAGGCGGGGGACAATAAGCAGCATATTTATTAGGGCTGGGAACAAATAAGGAATTTGATATTCGAATATTCATTTTCTATATTTTTACAATATATTCGAATATTCGTTTTTACAACATTTATTCCAATATTTCTCTTTAACTTATATGTATCCTAAATTGATTGAGTAGTATTCTATATTACTTTAATATGCTTGGAATAACTGACGATTAAAAAGACCTTCATTACTATGTCAAAGTTTTTTATATTTTATTTATTGTTATTAATCAATATGTATGTTTACTTTTGAAATAAAGTCATAATTTGTTTGTTTTTTGTTCAGTTTCTCTGACTGCTGATCATTTGTCTTATTAACGGAGGTAACTCATGTGACTTGACTGACAGTAATATGAATCATCTTAGCCTCTTGGTATAGGTTAAAGTTAATTAGTTTGTATTTATATTATTTTAAATTATTTTTATAAACAGTCGATTTACTATTTGCCAATTTACCAAAAGTAAATGTGTTATGATTCAATTGAAATACTGCCATCCTTTCGGACAAAAAATAATTTCAAACACTAAGCCTCAATAACACATATTTATATTGAAACTTAACTTGTAAATAAATATTTTTATTTATTTATAATTTTGAATACGGTTTAAAATATTCTAAAGATAATTTAAGCTAAAATGCAGTAAATATCACATGGAGTCTAATTTCTACGAAATAGATATCTTCAGACAGAATATAGACACTTCCCATGCTTTCATAACGCTCCAATTATTTACATTATAAACTGTTAAACAGCTAACTTGCAAACTGTGAAACGGTTGCCCTTTTGATTATCTATACCCAAAACTTTTCACAGTTACTGCGATAATCATTGACACGCATTATGCAAACATATAAAAACCTGGTAAAGTGAAGGTCCAGGGTTTAATTTACGATCTCAATTGAAATTTTAAAGTAATAACAAAAAAAATAAACACATTTCTTTTTGTTTTCGAATATTCGTATTCGTTTTTCAATGTTTGAATATTGGATAGTGTTTTGAATATTCAAATATAATTCCCGGCCCTAACATTTATGCATAATTATTTCAAAGTCCATATACAACTAAAACGGATGGACAAGTGCAACGCTATATGCTCCCCACTTTGTGGAGGCATAAATATGACAAAGCTATACACAAAAGAAGATAATTTATTGGGTATTCACAAATGTCTACTTTGACATATGTTACAGGAGTGACTTTGACCTTTGAACAGAATAATTGACCCCTTTGCCGAACACATCATCATGTCTTACACACTTATGCCTAATTATGAATACCAGAATTGTTGACCGGACACAACCATCAATACACTTGAATGAAAAAATTCATATTATGACTTTGGAATACAAGTGTGACCTTCACCTTTGAGGTCAGGGCCTGATTCATGCTCAAGACATGCCATAATGTCTAATAATTTATTTATGCATAATTATTTCTAAATCCATCCAGGAATGTCAGAATTGTTAAACCAACACAAACATCAGTGTATTCTTACAAAAATTCATATCATGGCTTTTGACCTTGACCTTTGAGGTAGGGACCTGATTTATACTCGCAACACACTATCATTATGTCCAACAATTTTATGCATAATGATTTTTAAATCCATAACTAAAATAAAAATAGAGAAAATTATTTTCTTTACAAATAACATTACACATTACACATGTCTTTAAATCAAATTTAATACATACCTTAATTGTATTAAACTTACCCTTCAAATGGATTTAGTGGCAGGAGACCCTGAAATTGGAGTTGCTGGGTCACATCTGAATGAATACTAGAAGTGAATGTTTCTGGGGAAAAAAAAACAATAACAATAAACATTTAAATGCAAAACCACACATATTTCTGTTTATTTATGGTATTAAAACATGAGAAATATAAATTTTAATGACATTTTCTGCTTGCTATTAAAGGCTTGAGGTCAGTAAGATTTAATGCAGTAACATTAAATTAGCAAGATGATGAAGCAAACATATTAACAACGGGAGACCGTCACATTAATTTTACATAAATATAATATTCTGTTTACCACATATCCAAAATAAGGAAAAGTTTACAGTAAAAAATAGTCTGTTTTCATTGATGCACCTATGGTGTAACACTTATAGCCTGTTTTTACATTATGTTTGTTTATAACGCAAATAACGTGACGTCAAAATGTTATTACACAAGTGTAAGACCGTTTTATTCAACTGCTTTATTACACTTCTGGTGCGAAAAAAAATCCAATGATTAAACAATCGGCTAAAAAAGGAATATTGCATGAAGATGACAGTAACGACAGAGCAAACATAATAGTCTTTTCCTTCAAAACAGAAGAGCTAAAATCAATGTTTATTTCTTAACAAGATTGCATTTGAGAAAAATGCTATGCCACCGCATTATAAGTTCTATGCCTTGTACCTTCAGACAAAAATATTTTTTATCTTTTACTATATGTACATAATGAACATCAATGACCCCCGCGCAATAATTTGAACAATCTTGGTAAAGGTTCACTTTGCAAAGTCTCATGCCATATATTTAACCTCTAGTCTTTGTCAATTCAGAGAAGAAGATTTTTCAATTCAGAGAAGAAGATTTTCAAGTTTTTACTTTATCTTATAAGGAAAACTATCGCTTCTGGGGCAGGGTAATTTTAACACTAGGGGCATAATTATAACAACTTTAGTAGAGGACTCATAGATGATATTATATACCAAATATCAAAGCTCTAAGCCTTGTACCTTCAGACAAGAAGATTTTTTTAATTTTTTTACTATATGTACATAGTGAAAATCAATGACCCCTGGGGGTGGGGCCAATTTTGACCCCAGGGCTATAATTTGTACAATCTTACTAGAGGTTCACTACATAATGTTTCTTGCAAAATATCTTAACTTTAGCCTTTGTAAATTTAGAGAAGATGATTTTGTAAGTTTTTACTATATACATATAAGGAAAACCTATTGCCCCCGGGGCGGGGCTAATTTTGACACTAGAGGCAAAATTTGAACAACTTTGGTAGAGTACCTATAGATGATATTATTTAACAAATATCAAAGCTCTTAGCCTTGTACCTTCAGACAATAAGATTTTTGACTTTTTACTATATGTATATATTGAAAATCAATAACCCCCAGGACGGGGGCAATTTTGATCCCAGGGCTATAATTTGAACAATCTTTCTAGAAGTTCACTTCACAATGTTTCATGCAAAACATCTAACCTCCAGCATTTGTCAATTGCTTGAAAATTTTTTTTAAAGTTTTTACTATAAGTTTTTACTATATACATTTAAGGAAAACCAAGGAACCCCGGGGCGGGGCCGATTTTGACCCCAGGGCTATAATTTGAACAATCTTGGTAGAGGTCTACCAGACAATGCCTTATGCAAAATATGTAAGCTCTTGGATTTTTGGGTCTTTACAAGAAGGTATTTTAAGTTTTTACTATGTGAACATATAGTGAAAATCAATGACCCCCGGGGTGGGGCCGATTTTGACCCCCAGGGCTATAATTTGAACAATCTTGGTAAGGGTCTACCAGACAATGCCTTATGCAAAATATCTAAGCTCTAGGCCTTTTGGGTCTTTACAAGAAGGTATTTTAGGTTTTTACTACATGTACATATAGTGAAAATCAATGACCCCCAGGGCGGGGCCGATTTTGACCCCCAGGGCTATAATTTGAACAGTCTTGGTAGAGGTCTACCAGACAATGCCTTATGCAAAATATCTTAGCTCTAGGCCTTTTGGGTCTTTACAAGAAGGTATTTTAGGTTTTTTCTACATGTACATATAGTGAAAATCAATGACCCCCGGGGCGTGGCCGATTTTGACCCCAGGGCTATAATTTGAACAATTTTGGTAGAGGTCTACCAGAAAATGCGTTATGCAAAATATCTAAGCTCTAGGCCTTTTGGGTCTTTACAAGAAGATTTTTTTAATTTATTCTTATAATTCCTTTTGGTTGCCATGGCAACCAGATTTCTGCATGGAATGTAATTCTTTGAACAACTTTGGAAGCCCTTCACCCAAGGATCAATCCTGCCAAGTTTGGTTGAAATTGGACTAGTGGTTTTTCACAAGAAGATTTTTTAAGTTCACTATATAATCTATATAACACAAACACAAACAAACACACACACAGGTGAAATGCTATATGCCACCGCATCGCAGATGCTGCGGTGGCATAAAAATATAAATTCACAGCGTTTGTCATAAAGTAAAATAGCTGCTTCATACCTCTATTGATGACAGCCAAACATGTAAGTAAAGATGGTAGTGCCTGCGGTAACAACTCGCACAATATGGCATAATGATCATACCTTCAAAATAGAAAATACAGTAGAACTTAGGTAAGTTGAAGTTGAAGGGACTTGCGTAAAAACTTTGACACATCGGGACTTCGACTCATGAATTGGTCTCAATTTGATGACAAAATTTCGAGCTGTTTATATATACAAGCAAGTTACAAAGGGTGTAACAAAAGGAAAGGGAGATAAATAACCAAGCTTATAGTAAATATATCCCCGTGTGATAATCACTCGACACTGGGTCACGGAAGTTCTCAAATGAAAGTAGTTCTTATTGTTTACTTTCAAATACCACTTTTAACAATTAAAGCACGTAATCACACATTTAAACGCAAACAAAGGCTGTTAGAACACAAGGCTATGTTATTAACACCTGTCACACAAGTTGATTCGAAATCATCTTCACAGCTAGAAAAGGTGTGAAAAAGTCTTAAGATCGATGTTGTCAAAATAATCGAAGGACTTCGACTTATTTGTGGTAAATTGTACTTGATTTATTCTATACGGCCCTCTAAAAATAGTTTGACAAATCAAAAAATTCAACACATAAAATTTCAACTCATATATAGTATTTTATAAGGAATATATAGGGGAAAAATCGGGACTTTCATTTTACTTCGACACATCGAGAAAATCAACTAATCGAAGTTCGACTCATAGAAGTTCTACTGTACAATTTATCATTCTTAAGCTGATAATGTAAAAACTCACACATTACTACATAATGTGACTATAATAAAACTAAAGTTATTGAGCAATTGATGGAAAAGTCTCAATATGACCTAAATGATGTAAGTGTAAACTTAAAACAAAACCAGGAACCAATCTTTATGGGTTAAAATTCCCACTAGGGCAAATGAATTCTTTAATGCAAGGAAGCTATCCAGCCAACTTATAGAAAGTCAGTGATTCAATTTCAAGTGCCTATTTGTGATAATAATAACGTAAAGATGGGCAATTGAGGACTTTCTACACCAGTAAACTGAAAAATTGCCATAAACGTGACATGAAACCGACAAAATAAATAAATAGATATATAAAAACAATATCATTTGATATACATGTAGTTGTTGCTGACAGATAGATTCTAGAGACATTAATCTTCAGCATTAGAAAAAACTAAAACTGTGTCCAAAGGACACGGATGCCCCCACTGTGCAGATGTGCTCGTAAACAAGAGCATGCATATCTGTATGTAAGATTTTTATGTGGAACTTTTTATTAACTGCCATCCGGTTTAAGAGGAGTTGCGTTCAAAATATTTCTATATGGTATATAGTGAAAAAATCAACAAAGGGTTATAATTCTGTTAAATTTGGTCGCAGCAAAAATTCTCTCCTTTACTTCCATCTACACATTAAGGTTGTTCATCCCTGGAAGTTAAAGCAAAATCTGCCATCCGGTTTAAGAGTAGTTGCGTTCACAAAATTTCTACATGTTTTATAGTGAAAAAATCAACAAAGGGTTATAATTCTGTTAAATTTGGTCGCAGCAAAAATTCTCTCCTTTACTTCCATCTACACATTAAGGTTGTTCATCCCTGGAAGTTAAAGCAAAATCTGCCATCCGGTTTAAGAGGAGTTGCGTTCAAAATATTTCTATATGGTATATAGTGAAAAAATCAACAAAGGGTTATAATTCTGTTAAATTTGGTCGCAGCAAAAATTCTCTCCTTTACTTCCATCTACAAATTAAGGTTGTTCATCCCTGGAAGTTAAAGCAAAATCTGCCATCCGGTTTAAGAGTAGTTGCATTCAAAAAATTTCTATATGGTATATAGTGAAAAAATCAACAAAGGGACATAATTCTGTTAAATTTGGTTGCAGCAAAAATTCCTTCCTTTACTACCATCTACACATTAAGGTTGTTCATCCCTGGAAGTTAAAGCAAAATCTGCCATCCGGTTTAAGAGTAGTTGCATTCAAAAAATTTCTATATGGTATATAGTGAAAAAATCAACAAAGGGACATAATTCTGTTAAATTTGGTTGCAGCAAAAACTCCTTCCTTAACTACCATCTACACATTAAGGTTGTTCATCCCTGGAAGTTTAAGCAAAGTCTGCCATCCGGTTTAAGAGGAGTTTCCATTGTTATTTTCTTTTGTTTAATAGAGGGCCATGGCCCCTTATTCTATTGTTACGGAATGAATTCTATTGTTCTCTTTTGTTCTGTTAACAGTTAGATGGCCCTCTATCCCTATTTGGTAGTGCGGACGTTCCTACGAATGGTCATTTATTGGGTACTTCTTTTGTTTAAAAGTACCCAATAAGACAAAAAAAATTCCCAACAGTACTGACGGAATGAATAGAATTACCCAACAAGTGTCCTCTCGTGTGTTCAAGGTACCCAACAAGTGTCCTCTCGTTTGCCCTGACAGACGGACAAGTGCAACGCTATATGCTCCCAACAAAAGCACAATTTTATGTTGAACCAGCTATTAATAAACATTATTTTTTGTTTTTCATCACAATATACTTCTAATTTTGGATTTTTCACATTTTAATCAAGTGTTTGACATGCTTGACAGGTTGTGATTGTAAAAGGTGTCAAGATATAACCCAAATTTTACAGGAAAATCGTTCGGAATTCATAATTTGGAAGTTCCGGAACTCAGAGGTATTTATTGAATAGAACACAGGAGAAATTTTGGGAGAATGAAAAATTTTCGGATTTCAGAAGTTCCCGGATTTTTGAAGTTCGCGAATTCAGAAGTTACACTGTATATTTACATAGGAGTAAAATATGTGTAAACCAACTTTCTATTCTTATGTAGGCATTTATAATTCAGTATGTACATATAGCATGCCTGTCCCAAAAAATACAACGTTAAAATGACTCTTCAATGATGTTATTGCCTACAAAAGGTTTTGACTGTATTATATATAGGATATGGACTGGATATAAGTTTACCTATATATCATACAACTCACCTTTGCCAGCCTGTTATTGCAATACCCTTGATGTTTTCAAACTTTGATTTGATATGATCTAGAACACTCAGCCAGGTGAGATGATTGTCCACATGATACATAATGTTGGTAGCATACATACATGCCCCTGTAGCACCTTTAAAAGCACTCGCCACCCAAATGTTACTAAACACTTTGGAAAAACGATCCCATATATCTACAATATTGAAACAACTTTAAAATTAAACCACATCAAAAACAAGCACTTGTTAATTAAACATTTAATCTAGAGAACTAATTGGCAATACTATCTATTGTCTTAATAAAATTTAGTACATGTATAATGTTTTTAAAAAACTTTATTTAGTTTTGTTTGTTTGATTGGGTTTTACGTCACACCGACACAGTATAGGTCATATGGTGAAGTTCCAGCTTTTCTAGTGGCGGAAGACACGAACAGGCACCTGAGTACAACCACCGACGTTCCGTAAGCTAGCTGGATAGCTTCCTCACATGAAAGAATCCAAAGTCCCTGACAAGATTCGAAACCACAGCAAGTGATTTGAAGTGAACGACCTTAATCACTCAGCCACAAACTTAAAATGAATGAATAAATACAAAAACACATTTAAATGTCATAAATTTACATGTGAGCAGCAGAAAACTAATTACAATACTTACAAAAATTATTCAATGAAAAAATTTATAAACATAATATTAAATTATTAAATTCAAGGGAGATAACTCACCAGGTGGTAACAGGAATGAGGGGAGGTAATGCCATACCATAATTTCTACAAGACTTCCTAAACCAGACTCTGAAATTATGATATGAAGTTCTTGAAATGATCAAAGTAACACATTACCATTTTAAAAGCTGACATTCTTCATACATTATATTTGCCTGTAATCTTTTTATAGTGTCGATGTAGGGCTACAAATCAGATCTTAAAAGTCTACAAGGTCAGGATTTTGATTGGTCAGTGAACATCCTGTGGCAGTTTCTGACCAATCAAATACCCAAGGTCTGAGTTTAAGCTTAGAGAATGTCTTTTTAACCTCAGAAGCTGGTAAATAAATTCCAAATCACTAATAAATTGTTGTTGTTGTTTTTTTCTGTGACATACTGCTTAATTCTTTTGATAATTCAGCTGTAAAGATCAATTAACTTTCAAGCTAATTATCACTGTAAACCTGCATTATACTTTGAAAATGTTTTTAATTCAACATATGAACCTTAACTCTGTACTGAGCTAAATTGACCAGCTTTCCTAGCTTTACTACAAATGTACTTTTGAAACCCATGATGAGAACAGCTTCAAATACAAACCAAACTAAAGAATTAGAACAAAATTTTACCTGCAAGAACAGGAAGTTCTAGAAAACGTAGCATGTCGTCCCACATTATGATTGTGATATGTGGGTATTTTTCTTTGATGAACAAACAAACAGCCCTAACATGGGCAAAGAACAGCTGTTGTACAGTCCAGTTCTCCATTAACATCTTCCTTTTACATCTTTCACATACCCCTAGGTGATACACCTGTAACAAATTCATAAAAACAAGTTTTAATTAAATCTTTGTAACATACACTCAGGCATGCCTTATAATCATCTTTGTTTCACCTCCAGCAACCCATGCCAGTTTGGATAGGGTAGGTAAGTCAATAAAATATATCTTTCATCATCTCAAGGACAAAATGGTTATTACTTGAATAACATACAGAAAGAAGGTAGCCTAAATGAGCGTAGGCCTAGTGGTTAAGGTATCTGCCTCTCAACCCAGGGATCATGGGTTCACTCCGTAATTGTATCAAAACCATGCTTCTTCATATGACAGTACTCAGGTTGGTTCCAGGAAACGGACTCGAAAGTGATTGATATAAGTTGCAAGAGCTTCTTTTGCAATCCAACTTAAACCAAAAAGAAGGTAAAAACTAGAGGCTTGAAATTATTATACATGTACTAAAAAAATTGATATAAATGGGAGAAGAAAAATTTATCTTCAATCAGTATTGTTCCTTACCTCGTCACCTCCGATATGAAAATATTGTATGGCAGGGTGTGCAGTCATCACCTGATCTATAATCATACTTATAACAGTCAGAGAATCTGAAATATGTGCATTTGTTCAATAAATAACTTTAGAAACTGTAAAGCATGCATTTTTAAATTCACTGTCTGATTGCCCACAATAGATGCAAATTAAACTATAATTGCTTGTTTGGGGTTTTAAGTTACACAAATATTGTGAAGGTCATATGGGGACTTTCCAGCTTTACTGGCTGGTACAGAAACACCCCAGGTGCCTTTCTGAGCATTATTTCGGGCATGAGCCACTGGCACCTTGGTACAAGTAAAATCATGGACATTCAATTAGATAGCTTCCTCATTTGAAAGAATTCAAAGTGCCTAATGCCTGGATTTAAAACCAAAGCAGTGAGGGGCAAGTGGTTTGATGTCAAATACCATAACATCTATGCCATGGAAGCTTCTATAATCTTAATCATATTCTATCCAACAAAGGCTTGAAACTGTTATTTATTATTAAACAAAGAAATAGCTTTATCAAACCTGATTATTATTCAATTTCAGTTCTTCTTTTATGCTAAAAATAAAACGAACCAATTACACCCCCTTTGAAACAAAGAATATAAAGCAAAACTATGAATTTGAAATGATTCATATTTTAAAACAATAAAATTTTACAAATTATTTCAGAGAAGAGTACAGAAAACATGTTGATATTACATACCTGCATTAGATGGGCACAGGGCACTAGGGTATCCTTCTAACTCACACAAACTTTTAAACTTTTCATGCTTCAACACAAACTAGAAAACAATAAAACAGTAACATTGCCTTAAATGTGAAAATAAAAATATTTCAGAAACATTACATTGAAGACTTGTATCAACAAATTCCATCTGAATTACCTGTATATTCTACGTATACAAGACTACCATAGTTTTACCACACAGGTTGGGAAATTATAACATTTAGACATCGCATATATTTTTTTTCTCTGTATCTTTATGCCACCCCTTTTAAATTGGAAAAATTAATTAAGAATCATTATGTAATAAAGAATATCAAAATGATTTAATTTACTCATATATTTTTCAAATATTTCTCGATACACATACGTGTACAGCATGATGTATACAGGAAAATGTCCCCCTGGCACCCTTTAACTGATTAGTTTGTTTTTTTTAAAAAAACTGAAATTATTTGAACAATTTTGTTCACCAAAAGGATCATTTTGGTGTAATAAAAAATAAGTAAAAAGATAAAAATATGCAATAATAATTATAAGAAATAACCTTGAATCAATAACAGTCCAGAATTATTGATAAAATGCATTTTTCAGATAAACAGTTTGTCCATGGTGTTCCCAAAACTCCCATAATATTTTGTTCTACCTTGCAAATAGATAGTACAATATAAATATTGGCTTCTGAAGATATAAATAAAAACATGTCATCCATTTTCGGAACTTTAGAAGGAGATGACAGGAAAACTATTGAAGTTATAAGAACTATTAGATCACTATCAAAAATCATTTACAAAGCGTTTATGTCATGTATGTGCTTGACTATAAAACTGAATAAAGAAGACATAGACTCAAACCACATACCTCAAAATGTCCGAATGTCTGAATAAGAGGTATAACAGTAAGACTATTGTCTTCGGCAAGCTGAAGTAACTCTGCTATATTGTCTTTACTGGAAAATAAATTCACTTTGTTCATTATGTTTATCATATCAATTTTCAAAAGAAAAATTAGTTAACATTATAAAGTCGAAAACAAAATTTCAAGTCACACCAACAAAGTAGAGGTCATGTGCTACTTTCCAGCTTTACTAGTTGAGGCAGACCTCAGGTGCCTCTCTGTGTGTTATTTCTGGCATGTGTGGGCAACTGAGTAGAACCAACTAATCACACAAGAGCAAGTTTAACCTGGCTTGTATCTGTACAAATCCTATCAGAAACAATTTTCAGGCTTAAACTGGTCAGATTTTAGTCACATGATTGGTCAGATTTCAGATTCATAATTGGTCAGATTTCAGTAAGATTTCAGATACATGATTGGTCAGATTTCAGTTACATGATTGGTCAGATTTCAGGTACATGATCGGTCAGAAACCGGCACAGAAACTGAGAATGTGCACTGACCAATAAAAAATCATGATATCCGAGACAGTTCTCTGAAAAAACATTTTAAAAGCTTGAGACAGTTCTCTACAAACTATTGTCAACTGAGAATCCTTCACCTTACCTATAAGCATATCTCTGAGATAATTCCTCTAACTGACCAACATATGGGAACATATCTTCATATTCTAACAACAACCCTGTAGCTCCATTCTTCTTTAGAATTGGAAACAACTGAAACAAAATATTCATTTAAACAATGTTGTTTTAAAAGGCAGAACTATGAAATGAAAAAGGAAACAAGTTTTTTTTTGCCTTCTATTTGAAATTGATATACTTTATATGTATGCTCCATCTTATATACAAATTATCAAGGTGCCCATCAAGAGGCAGGTGCATTGATCTAATGGTAACACTGTTTGACTACAAACCCAGTTGTCATATGTCTGATATGCCACCCCCCACACCACTTCGAATAGGGAAACTAGATAATAATGGCCCTTAGTGATCTCTGATAATTAGTTATTTTCAAAAAATGTATAAATATTATTTAAATAAAGTATGAGATAAACACCTGATTGCATAGAAGATATTTGAGCCACGTCATGACAAAACTAACATAATGGGTTTGCGACCAGCATGGATCCAGACCAGCCTGCGTATCCGCGCAGTCTGATCAGGGTCCATGCTGTTCGCTATCAGTTTCTCTACTTGTTATAGGGTATGTAAGCGAACAGCATGGATCCTGATCAGACTGCGCGGATGCGCAGGCTGGTCTGGATCCATGCTGGTCGCAAACCCATTATGTTGGTTTTGTCGTGACACGGCTCATTTGTTTAGTTCAGTGTTGGATCTGAATATATTTCACCGAGTGACCACCAAAAAGTATATTTCATGAGTGGCACAGCCACAAGTTAGATATGAACTTTTGGTGTTCATGATGTATAATATATATCAATCTTACACTAAACTAAACAAATATTCTATTTATTATATGCAAAGAAGACATTTTAACCTAAAACAAAATGAAAAGCGCGCCAAATAAATTGAAATAATAATACAACGTGACGTCATTTACGACCTCATGTCATGAAGTTGGTTTCCAGTACTGTCCATGCTGGTATTTTCAATGAAACAACGTAACAGGCTTAAATTCAAAACAGTGCAAAAAATATCAAAATGATAATTTCACTGTTTCTACAGTGAGAATATCAATTTTATATTTCACTGATATATTTCTATAAACCACCAAAAAGTTTGTAATAATTAATTCTACACTCAATTGCAAAGGAAAGTGTGGACTTGGTTACATGGAAATTGTGTTTTCTCAATTAAGCAAAATATTGGCATTTTTGTATCAAAATGCAGTCTTAAAGATTTTCGTTGATCAACTGATGAGATGGACACAACAGATAATAACTGTCCCACAATTAGATAAAAACAAGATTGCATTTGAGAAAAATGCTGTGCCACCGCATTTATACAAGACTAAATAGTAGTGTAGGAACAGATTTTTTTTTTCTATACAATTTTGTAGATTGTCATAATGCATAGATCCCTGACCTATCTAATTCTTATTATCAGATTAGTGGTTAAATCTGTTGTTAACTCAATAAAACATCAGAGTAGGAATATATCAATGCACTTGAGTCTAGTGAATTTGGTGGTGAAGGTCATATTTCACACAGCCTAAATTTCATATGACTACATCAAAGGACAAGTCAGCTGATATCAAAGTTCACTTTACATCTTAATCTGTGCACATGGTTCAAATTTCATAGCTGTACATCAAAGGACAAGAAAGTAGGTCACATCATCAAAATCTAGGTCACCTGATATCAAAGTTTAATTTTACAACTAAAACTGTGCATATGGTCAAAATTTCATTGCTGTACATCAAAGGACACGAAAGTAGGTCACTGTCCCCTTGGGCAAGGCAAAATTTTGGACCCAAGGGTTTAATTCAAAACAATCTTGATACAGGTCCACCAAACAACATTTCAAGTCAAATATTTAAGCTGTAGCTTTCTCCCATTCAGACAAAATTTGTTTTATTTTCTGTTTTTACTATGTGAACATAATGAGAATCACTGCCCCCGGGCAGGGCCAATTTTGACACCAGGGGAAAATGTGAACAACTTTGGTTGAGGACCTATAGATCAGATATTATATAGCAAACATCAAAACTCTATGCCTTGTACCTTCAGACAAAAATATTTTTTATTTTTTTACTATATGTACATAATGAAAATCAATGACCCCCGGGGCAGTTTGCCAGAACCAATTTTGACCCCAGGGCTATAATTTGAACAATCTTGGTAAAGGTTCACTTCGCAAAGTCTCATGCCATATATTTAACCTCTAGCCTTTGTCAGAGAAGAAGATTTTTTAATTCAGAGAAGATTTTTCAAGTTTTTACTTTATACATATAAGGAAAATTATCGCCTCTGGGGCAGGGCAATTTTAACACTTGGGGCATAATTAAAACAACTTTAGTAGAGGACCCTTAGATGATATTATATACCAAATATTAAAGCTCTAAGCCTTGTACCTTCAGACAATAAGATCTATATGTACATAGTGAAAATCAATGACCCCTGGGGATGGGACCAATTTTGACCCCAGGGCTATAATTTGTACAATCTTGCTAGAGGTTCACTACATAATGTTTCATGCAAAATATCTTAACTCTAGCCTTTGTAAATTTAGAGAAGATGACTTTGTAAGTTTTTACTATATACATATAAGGAAAACCTATAGCCCCTGGGGCGGGGCTAATATTGACACTAGAAGCAAAATTTGAACAACTTTGGTAGAGTACCTATAGATGATATCATTTAACAAATATTAAAGCTCTAAGCCTTGTACCTTCAGACAATAAGATTTTTTTATTTTTTACTATATGTATATATTGAAAATCAATGACCCCCGGGGCGGGGGCAATTTTAACCCCAGGGCTATAATTTGAAGAACCTTGCTAGAACTTCACTTCATAATGTTTCATGCCAAATATCTAACCTCTAGCATTTGTCAATTGCTAGAAGAATTGTTTTAAAGTTTTTACAATATACATATAAGGAAAACCAATGACCCCCAGCGCGGGGCCGATTTTGATCCCAGGGCTATAATTTGAACAATCTGGGTAGAGGTCTACCAGACAATGCCTTATGCAAAATATCTCAGCTCTAGGCCTTTTGGGTCTTTACAAGAAGGCATTTTAAGTTTTTACTATATGTACATATAGTGAAAATCAATGACCCCCGGGGCGGGGCCAATTTTGACCCCAGGGCTATAATTTGAACAATCTTGGTAGAGGTCTACCAGACAATGCCTTATGCAAAATATCTAAGCTCTAGGCCTTTTGGGTCTTCACAAGAAGATTTTTAAAATTTATTATTATAATTCCTTTTGGTTGCCATGGCAACCAGATTTCTGCATGGAATAATATTCTTTGAACAACTTTGGAAGCCCTTTACCCAAGGATCAATCCTGCCAAGTTTGGTTGAAATTGGACAAGTGGTTTTTCACAAGAAGATTTTTTAAGTTCACTATATAATCTATATAACACACACACACACAAACAAACACACACACACACAGGTGAATCGCTATATGCCACCGCATCGCAGATGCTGCGGTGGCATAAAAACATTAAACTTGAAGTAACAATCTGCAACTTTTACTTTTCACCCTTCAGCTTTTTACACAAAGCCACAATTCTGACATTCATCAAAATTTAATGAATACAAAGTGGTCAATATATTTCTGCTAATTTTGAAACCAAATTTTACCAAAATATTGCTCAAGTAAGTAACAGAATTTCCAAGTAACCAAGTGCACTCTTTCTTTTATAACTTACCACCTGCAGATATTCTATCCTAGGGGCCGCTCCTTTTAAATCTAAATGCACCAACCTAAAATTTACATATTTGTTTGATTTGGTTTTGTTTGATTTAGGTTTTACGTCACACCGACATAGTATAGGTAATTTGGCGACGTTCCAGCTTTACTGGTGGAGAGAGACCTCAGGTGCCCCTCCGTGCATTTTTTCAGGCACGAACGGGCACCTGAGTAGAACCACCGACGTTCCGTTAGCTAGCTACATAGCTTCCTCACATGAAAAAATCCAAAGTCCCTGTCGGGATACGAACCCACAGCGGTGAGGGGCAAGTGGTTTGAAGTCAACACCTTAACCACTCAGCCACAGACGAAATGTACATATAATATTGTTGAATCTAGTGTAAGAGTATAATAAAACATCTTATCATTCACTACACTACAACTTCTCCTATAAATACAAATGAAAACTTTTTGTTGTACATGTATAAAAAAAATAATTAAAGATTATACTTAACTCAAATTTGATATAAGAAAATATTGACAACTGCCACACAGTCTCTTTGTAAATATAAAAATAAACATGTTTTGACTTCACACAAAGTAGATATTTTATGTTTAAAAATTCTACACACTGTAGGTCATCACAATAATTATTATAATATGAATATTTATTATATACTTATAAATGAAATATTGAGAAATATTAATTAAATAAAATGCGTATTTTCATTTTCCGTATTTTCACTGTAAAAAGATTTATTTTTCACTGCAGTGAAACATATTTTCCGTATTTTCACTGGTGTCTTGCCGGACTTCTTTCTATTAAACTCTGCCAATACGCAAAATTTAAGGGAAATTCTTTCAAATTTTAATGTCAAAAAAGAGAAATGTATATCATACCACTCAATGAAAATAAATCATGTATTTATAGAAAAAACTTGAATATCCTCTATATATTGTCATTAAAAAACTGGCAGTTTTTACTTGACCTATTTTAGGGAACGCTGCTTCCAAGTATAGGTTAGAGTGCATATTGGGTGTTCTTCGTAAATAAGAAAGCTAAAAAGGAGCGGAGCTTGCGAAGCGACTGTAGCTTTCTTATTTACGAAGAACATCCAATATGCACTCTAACCGGCTTAGTGCTCCGCCCATTTTTCCGCCCAACACACCGCGTGACGTCACACGATAGCCTAAATATGCAGTAACCATATTTAGAAGAGGTAGCGATACACATTTACGGGTCACGTGTGTTGCATAGCTTTTTTCCGCATTCTGTCTAGGTAAATCAGACAATATCGCGGTGCATATCCATATCGGTACCCTCTTTGCGAAATATTCTCAAACGGTACCCTCTTTGAACATACACAGGTCATTCTCTGCTAAAAACAAACCAG